TCCCTTTGAAGTTGACCTCTTTACCTCCATTGTTATTCTCTTTAAGAACAACAGGATATAATCTATATCCAGATAACATTCCTTTCTTTGTGTCAAATAGATATTCAGTAAAGATTATAAATAATTTGCTCCCATCTAAAATCACAGACATCAATTTTAATTTTTTATATTGGAGATAGCATTCTTTATTTTTATTATAAAAAGTAACATATCGATAATACATTATTTTTTCTTAAATCTGAAATAACAAAAAAGTATGAAGAATAAAAGTCATCCATAATACACTTACCTAGGGATATCCATTATTAATTTTTGGTTATAATCTACCATTTTTCATTAGGACCATAAATGAAGTCATACTTTAATACACTGATTTGTACCTGGTCATTTTTCCATTTTAGAAAACACAGATTACATGATTATATTAATGATTGTATTATTCCATTGCTTCTATGTAGCAATCTCATAAATTTGAAAATGTATATCTTTTTGTTCTCCACAGCCCTGCAAAGCTGGGATTATTACTAATTCCCTTATATAGAAATACAGATCCTGAGGTTCAGAGTGGGTAAGTGACTGCTGAAAATTTACATACCAAGTAAGTGGCAGAAATAAAGGTTGCTCTAGGACTTCTTGACTCCAAATTGGTGCCCTTTCCACACAGTGTGTCTCCTGTCTCTGTAATGAGATAATGCAGATGAAGGGGCTGGGCAAGTGCACCCTATTGTTATTTATTTAAAGAGACAGCCTAAAGGGAGTCATTGTCTCAGGAACAACTTCTGATTTGGTCTGAATCTAGGGCAACTTCCCGAATTAAAACTGCATAAAGGCTTCTAGGGCTGCAGATTGAATTCTTCTTCATGCAAAACATCATTATAACACAACAGTATCAATATGCAATTGAATCCTACAATAAGAATTAATTCCTGATCAGTGAACATAGCCATACAACATTAAAGAAAACAGGTCATTATTGAAAAAGGACATTCAAATCTGCAAGCTTAACAGCAGACCCTAGGTATGTACATTGATCTTGTCTCATTACCCTTTTCCCCCCTTATTTTCTTCACCGAATGACAAGTGGAATGTCTAGCAGGGGAGGGCATCTTGCTACATTGGTCTAAGGAATCTAACCTGGGGCCTAGAAGGCAAAGGAGGTTGAACCAAAAATTTTGAAGAGTTTATGAGATTCTATAGTTCTCTATTCTCTATTCATTGCTTGCCAAATCAATGGATTCTGGAGACAGAGTACTGCAAATATCCTATTGAACTCTTTTTTCCCCACATAGTCCAAAGGTGTTGCGCATTCTTTTATCACTGATAATTTGCTATTGATCTACTTTCTCATTTATGTCTTCTTGGCCCTCACACTACGCAGTTGGCCAAGATTTTGGTTTCCCTGGGGCAGCTGTCCTCTTATGCCTCCAAAGACTCTGGATTGACTTTCCCTTCAGGGTCCTGGACACTTCATTGAGACTTCGGACTAAAAGTCCACAGTGAGAACTTATTCCTATGAGGTTTTTGGGTACAAATTGCCAGGCCTTATTAAAATATAATTTTCAGAAAAAGATAAAATGATGACTTTCATACAGATATAAAAAAGGGCACATGTTAAAGAATTCACTTTACTCATATAATATGAGAGAACCAGGCAAAATGGGACAGCACTGATTTTTCCATGGGTAGGATGGGACAAATAAAATCACTACCGGAAGGACAGAAGTTACACATTTATCAATTACCCATGACTTACAAAGAACAGCAAAATAGCTCAAAGACAATGAATAAGGCTAGAATCTAATAACCCAGAAGAATATGTTATAGACACGCATAATTTTTTTAATACCCCTCCTTCAGAAATGAAAGAACGTAGGGCCATCCCAACCAATTCCAGTGGAATAAGACAAGTAACCTGGATAATATCAGACCACTGCCAGAGTGATCCCTTTAGAACATTGAATTTCCCTGACAAATTTAAAACACAAGTTATAACTCCTAAATGTCCTCAAATGTTTAAAAAATAAAAATGTCCAACCAAGAATATTAGAAAATGGAGTAAATATCAAAATTCACTAAAATATTCCATAATTATTCATACCAGCTTTATTTATAATAGCCAAAAGCTGAAAATAACCTAAATGTCCTTCCCAGGTGAATGGATAGATAAACCGTGGCAACCACCAATTTTTTTACTGTCTCTATAGTTTTGCCAACTATAGTTTTTTTCCTCTCATTCTTTAAGGTAAGTGCTATGTACACAGAGCTTCAAGATAAGTTTCTTATCTCTGTCGTCCAATCAGATTAGCTCCTCTCTTTCTTTTATGTAATTTACCTTTTCCTGAGGACCTCCTGGAAGGTGGTAGAGGACATCTGCCTACTACAGGCTGCAGCAGAGACAGCTATTCTCCCCCTGTATCTACTTTCCCCTTCTTCATTTTAATAAAACAATCCCACTTTGTCAAGGTTTGGCTGAGCCATTGGCTACCTAGCTAGAGACTGCATTTCCTACTTTCCTTGTATCTTGGTATGGCCCAGAGGATATGTGCAGAAAGAATATGTATAAAAGTATTCATTGATTAAAGGAAAACACTAAATATAATACAGTTTGTATAACCCTATTTTGGATTTTTTTTTCTCCCACTTTACAGTGTCTCAGCAAAATAAAATAAATGACAAGCCAGAAGTCTCAAGTTCTATGAGGCCCTGTGGGAAACATGGACATTTAAAGTGGAATGGACAAACAGAAACCTGTGAGGGTGAAAACAAGAATGGTCAGGGAACTAGAAGGAGAATCAAGGGATTATGGTTTTATGGAAGCTAAGGGAAGCAAGACTTTTTTTAGAAGTGATCAACATGTCCAAATGAAACAGAGAAATCCAATAAAATAAGGAATGAAAATGATTAATGATTCATAGATAATTACCCTTAGTCTCAGTTTCATATCGATAAAATGGGTATCTCATGTGGTTATTACAAGATTAAACTAAACATAAGCTTCTGGTTTGTGGTAGGTGCTCAATAAATTTTATACCTTCCTTTCTCTCTTTTTGTGATTAACTCATTGTTTTATTCTAATACTAATTACTAGTGAGAAGCCCTGCTCAAGGCTGGGTAGGTAGGCACTGATGACAGACTGCACTAAAGTACTGTGTAGTGTACAGCCTGCCAGTACTATCCCTTGCCTGGAAGTTACCTGATTTACTTTTAGTTTCTTTGGTTTTGGCAGGTGAATTATGAAACTTAAAAACATCTCAAATGCAAAAAAAAAATTTGTTAACATGGTGTGTTGTTAATGCACGAAAAGTGTTTGTAAATTACTGAATACAATGTAAAGCAACACATTCTTATTGTATTAAAGCTTTATGTTTTTACTTATTTCTATTTTTTGGCCCTGCCACACAGCTTGCGGGATCTTATTTCCCTGAACCTGGGTCAGGGCAGTGAAAGCACGGAGTCCTAACCACTGGACTGCCAGGGAATTCCCATAAAGCTGTATGTTTTAAAGATAACTGCTTAAAGTTGGAGACACCCACCCACTGAAATTCTCATTGCCCTGTGATTTTTAAAAAAGCAAGTGGATAATTTTAATTGTCAGCTGTCTGATTTATATCTATAGTTGCTCAAACATGTTAGGACAGTTCATCTTTACTAGCAGAATCTTTTTTAAAATTGAGTTTTAAACTATTTTACATGCAGTAAAATCTATACCTTTTATGAGTTTTGGCAAACAAAGATATAGAACACTTCCATTACCCCTCAAAATTTCCTCAAGCCCCTTTTTAGTCATTCCCTTCCCTTGGTCACTACTGATCAGTGTTGTCCCTTTTTCAGACCCTTTTACTTTTAAATAATTATAGGCTCACAGGAAATTGCAAGAATAGTACAGAGTCCTGAGTACCCAACACCTAGCTTTCTCCAGTGGTGACATCTTACATAACTGTCGTACAAGATCAAAACCATGACCTGCATGTTTGAAGGCAGATTTTCCTTTCACTTCTTTGCCTGTGTTTACTCTTTTCTTTTGACACAAATTTAATTCTGTTGTGTTAAGAGGAGCAGATGCTACTTTTCCCTTAGATGTCTGCAGTTGCATTTTCAGTATTTCAGTTGGATCACCTCTGTTACTCCTACATCTTTCTCTAGTCTTTTCATTATTCCACCTTTTCCCAATTTAATTCTCCTGCTAGATTTTTTTTTTTTCCTGAGCTTTGTGACACAGATGGTACTACTGTCAATTCCCGAATCCCTAACTTTTACCTCGGTCCTTAAGTTTCAAAGGGGACGGTGCTTGTGCCTAATTGTTGTGTTCACAGTAATTTTGCAGCTTGCGTTATGAGAGCCGGCACGGTTCTCCAACCCCCGAGAGACGTTCCAGGGGCACTGAACGGTTCAGCTCCGTTCTTGCCCTCCCTTTCACCATTGGTCGTCCTTTTATTTTCCAGATACTTGGCTGTTTGTTAGAGAAGAGTATGCAGTGTCTCTCGAAACCGCTGGCAACCCCTCCTCTTCCTCAATGCGCCGCCTTTGTAACGCGCTGAGGAAACAGCCGCAGTTCGGCTCTTTGGGCCATTGAAGTGCGGGCGGGGCTTCGGCGGCTGCCGTAGCAAACTGTAGGGAGGTCACGCCTTCCGGCCCCCGCCCCACGCACGAGGCCCACGACGTCAGCCGCCCGCGCGAGCCTAGTCCTAGGGTGTGCGGGAGGTCCAGGGCGCATGCTCTGGCTGGGTCGCCTCTGGCGACGGAGGCTGAGGGAGGGGTAGAGAGCGGTCTTACTAGTGGGCGTCTCTGCTGGCTGGCTCTGCTCCTGTGCCACCGCCCTCTTGGCCCCCGGGGGCCCGTTGCTCCCCTCCCCGCTACCGCTGGCTCGGCGGTACCTCGCAGGGTGAAGGCTCCCTCTCCCCGGCTCCCTTCCCCCCACCCCGTAGCCCCGCCCACTCTGGGCTGGGCGGAAGGGTCAGGGGCCGAGCGGAGCCGGGTGAGTATTCCCACAACCTTTGCCGGCCTTCTCTTTCCGGCTCTGTTTCCCGCACGGTCCTCACCCAACTGCAGGGGTAGAGAGGAAGGGCGGGCGCGGGTGGGCGGGAAACAGCCCAGCCCCGAACAAAAGGCTGGGGAAGCGGGGCTCCCGCCGGTGAAATGCAGGCCGGGTCGCGCTGGAGCCGCTACGCGGGGGCGAGCCGCTGGCGGGTGTGGATCGCACTCCTGGGCCACCATGGAGACCTCACCCTCGATTTAGGTAGTTACAGACCTGTGTTTAAAGCCTGTACCGAGACAGAAATTCTTTGCCTCATAACCTTGAAACAGAGGATATGAAGTTACTGGTGATTCCAGTGGTTAAGTGCCACTTAACTTGAAGGAGTTTCTAATCATTAAGAATTAGGAGATTTTCTTCCAAATAACGTATCTACTTAGCATTTGAAATCACGAATGGGGGGTGGGTGGGATAAAGGAATAGTTAACTGATTTGTAGAAACAAACTTTTATGATGGTAGAAATTATAAACATCTCTGACAAGGCGAAAGGATAGCTACATGTCTTTTCAAAGTCAAAATAGAGCCTTGTCTAATAGGCCCACCTGAGAATCAGTTAATTATCTAGGGGACTATACTTTTGCTTGACACAGTATCGATTAGGGCCCAGGCTTTGCTGTTACTTTTTTTTGTCTAATGGAGCAAATTATTTCTGACTGGGAGAAAAAAATACTACTGATGATTATAGTTTTATTGCCCTATTTCCAAGATTTTTATAATTTTTACCATTGAGCTTGCTCCTTCATTATGAGTTCAGTAAATCTTTGCCACAGGCTCACTTTGTATGACACTTCGACAGTGGCCTCACTCTTAAGTGGCAAAAGCTTAGTTTATACTTTTCAGAAGTGGAAGGCATAGGCCCTATGTAGTGTTCAATTACATTATTAGAATCCTGCATAGAATCCTCCTTGCTTCTGAAGGGTCAAATATGGACAAGAGGAGACATTTACAAAATGAAAACTTGGCCAAAAAAAAAAAGTTGAGTATTGAGAAAGTCAAATTAAAGTCTTGCAATTACAAGGTTTAAAAATTGATATTTTACTTGAAACTAGTGGAAACAGTCTTTTCACTGGTTCTAAACTGGATTCATTGGATATACAATAGAATGTTACAAGATTATGCTTTTAAGTTTCTGAGAATGATAAGCAACCCCTTAGGAAAAACAAGTAGGGTAAAGTTTATCTAAGTAGTTTCCTTAAGACTGGGCTTGATTTGGTTATTAATATCTTTGAAGCCTAGAGACCGTTTGGGACCCTAGTGGCAGTGTTTGAAACATAAACATGCTCAGGGAACCATAACAACAACAGAATGCCCTAGAGATTATTTGGTGATTAACAAATGTCTTCAGGGGCCAAGTGCAGCTGGGTATAAAACAACTGGAAAGTAGGGAAACAGAGAAGAAACCCTATGTAAAAGCATCCAGATTAGGGAGAGGCAGCTGAAAACGATGTAGACCCAGAGGCTCCTCTAATGTACCTGGCACCCCAGGCCTTATTGATCTTGTAGGTTTATAGGACCCAGAAAGAGTATTTACTAATATGAATTTAGCTTTGAAGTTAGAGTTATTTCATATCACTGTCATGTAATAGCTTTTCGAGAAAAACTTTTTAATCATCTCTTCTGAGTTCAAGAACTTAAAATAGTTTCCTGTTGTCCTCCGTTTTAAATAGAATCTCTTTAGAGTTTTAAGGTGATTTAGAAACTGCTCCACTCCCCCTTCCCACCCCCAGTATTCCTATATTCCTTAATATTCTTAACACTCTCTATTTGGGCTCTTTACCTGTCTACTCTGCCTCATTTCAACCTGTTCCTAGATTCACTGACTGCCCCCACTCTTCATTTTTTGTAGCATCTCTGCCTTTCAGTATCCTTTTATACTTCTAGGATTATCTGAAATGTAACTCTTCTAGAGCAGAGGCTCTGGTTCCAGACTGACTGCCTTAGGTCAAACTGCCACATTTAACAGCTGTTACCTTGGACAAATTGCTTAACCTCTCTGTCCCAAATTCCTCATCTGTAAAATGGCGAAAATCACAGTGACTACCTCATAGGGTTGCTGTGAGGATTTAACAAGTTACTATAGTTTTGTTACATAATAAGAGCCGAATACATGCTATTGTAATGATTATTTAATCCATAGTAATTCTTTAGACAGTGGTTGTACAATTTATCACTAATTTTTACTGTCTTTTATTCTCTAATGTTCTTTTCAGTTTGAATCTTTTCTTATAAATTTGATTACAAACTGTTGAGGGCAAAGATCATATATTATAATCTTTTAAAAAAGTCTCTTAAAGTTCTCCCAGGATGATTCTGGGGGCTCGATATATTTTTTCCCTATCTTACTATCTAGTTTTCTATTTTCTGTTTTCCATTTTACTTCTGTTGCTTATATTTTAAAATGTATACCCTATTTTGCTCTAAAAGTACTTACAGTAGATTATAAACTATATATAATATAAAAACATACAAAATGGAGGTAAATCAGTCATGAAAATATGAAGCTTGAATAGAAAGGTGAGGTTGGGGTGCATTATACTCAAATATATACTGTGACCAGTTGTATAATTGTTAGTGGTGGGATACAGACTGAGTTATGAGCTTCATGATGGTCAGAGGAAAGAAGGAAACATATCACTTGCTGAGGAAAAACATAGCTTCCTTGGAAGTATTTAGTGAGTGAAATGCACATTGTGATCACAGATTTCAAAGATATGCATGCAAAGTCATATTAAGAAACCCTAGGGTTAAGTTCTCCAACCTTGTTAAGCCTACTTCTCATTTTTTCTCAAAGGGGGCTCAACTGCCATTTTTATGGAACTATTTCGTACATTGCAGGATGCTTATCATACTTGGTCCCTGAGCACTAAATGGCAATAGCAGACTACAACCTCCACCCCCCCCTTTGTGACAACCCAGTGTGATCCTACTCATTTCCAAACAACCCCTTCAAGAGTGGTTCCTCCTGATGTTGGGAAGCATTGGACCTTATCTGCCCATACTTTATACAACCTATGCTTCAACTACTGCCTTTTTTTTTTCCTTTTAACGTAGCATATTCTTTTCAGGCCCTGTCTTGCTGGAGCACTTCCATCTTTTTGACATGCTTTTGTCTCCACTTGGTAGGCCCTTATTCAAATTTCAAAATTCAATTCTGCGTTTTCCAGACTCCCTGTTTTTTTGGAGTCTTCTCTGATTTTCCCAGAAAAAATTTGACACTTCTTCCTCTGAGGACACACACATAGCAAGTGCTAGGATATTGTAGGTGCTGAGTGAATGAATGAAAAGCTTGCGGAAATAAGAAGGCACATTAATCTAGCCTTTAATGGAGACTTTGCAAGAAGAAAAATTTAAAGGGACTGTCTCTCCCGTTACAAAAAAGTCCAACAGCTTTTTTTTTCCAAAAAATAATGACACTTGGTAATATATTTTAAAAACACATTGCTCTATCATATATTCAGACTATTTAGACCAGCACTGAGTCCATAACCTCTGATACAATGTTGATCTTTTTGTACCTTCTTATTTGCTGAATATCTTTGGCCAAGGTCATAAGCCTTTAGTTCCTGGTTCTGGTCTAATGAGCATATGTTCTGACTAGAGTTAGTTCTACAAGTCCCACTGTTCAAAGGCAGCAAAAGAGTTTGAGCTGATGGATCAGTTCAAATCATCACTGTCGGAGGAACAATTTCTCTCATGTGCATGCAGAGAAGTCTTGGTTTATGTAAAAAATGATAATCTTCTTATAAAAGTAATGACACTGGTATCAGAAAGATTAGATGTCATATAAATCTGTTGTTTGAATGGGAAAAGATCCAATTGATGAATAGGCTTAAAAGTTTAGTTGAAGAAAGGTGCTATAAAGAGGTAGAGATATGTAAAATAAATTCATTTAAAGTTTTGAATTTTTCTTTTGTTCCTTACAATTTTTACTTAATATTTACCGTGTGCTTCACTCTGTTATAGATGCTAAGATATAAAATTATAAGTCACAGGTCCTCAGCTGTTTAGACATTGCTCTATCATCTTCCGATTTTCCTTGCTGTGGAAGAGATGGCTGAGGCTACACTGATTTTTGTTCCTTTGTAGATAAACTGTTTTTTTCTGCCTGCATTTTTGTTTTCCTTTTTGTTCTTTAAATAAAGATATTCCATAGACTACCTGTAGGCACAGGTTTCCTTCTAGCAGTTTTCTCAAACATAGTGAGTCCACTCAATTTATAGAAGTAAATCTCTTTAATCTTTCTTTTACCCAGATCAGGAAAAATTTTTCAATGGTATGTTTGCTTATGATTTCAATTCAGAAATGCCAGTTATTTGTAGGTTGGATCTGTGTTCTTTGTCCTTTCTATCAATCAGTATGCATTGTTTTCATCTTGGTTCTTTTCCTTCCGTGTTTGGAGATCACCTCATGTGTATATGCTAAAATGTTAATGGGATTCTTTTCCAGCTTCTGTACTTCTCTCTTTTGCCTCTTATACAGAGTTTGTCTAATATTGGGTTGGCCCAAGTTCGTTCCGGTTTTTGCATAACATCTTATGGAAAAACCCGAACGAACCTTTTGGCCAACCCAATATTATATGTTTGAATTCCCTTCCAGTTTTTTCTTCTTCAGTTTCCTTTTTAATCTTAGCTGTCTTTTTCCTTCTTATCTCTTGCTTTCAGAGGCTGCGTTTTTATTTTTCCTTTTTCTTTTTCAATTGGTAAATTAGATAATTTCTAAGTTTTTCTCCTGATTCCCATTGTAAGCCCATTATAGGAGCAAGCTTTCTCTCTTCCTCCTTATGGCAGTGCTCCTCTTTCTTATGGTGCACAAGCTTCATCTTGGCCCTGTGCTATTATTGAGGTTTTTGGTTTTCTTACCTTGACAGAAGAGGGACTTGTGTAGGGATGGTGTTGCTCATTCTTGTCAGAGTGAGTAAGCTACCTTCATCCTCCTCACTACACTTAGATGCTGGGGACTCTTCTTCTCAGTGTTAGGTTGGAGAGCATGTTGATAGATACAACCCAATTTATGAAGGATAGATCTTTCTGTACTCAGGAGAGGTCTTATTTTCCTATTGTCTAATCTTTCAGTCCTATGTCTCTAATGAGGGGAGTATTTTTCTGTAATTTGAAGTGGTCTATAGTTTTTTTTTTAAATAAATTTATTTTATTTTTATTTTTTTTTGGCTGTTTTGGGTCTTTGTTGCTGCACGTGGGCTTTC